ATTTGGGAGTATTTCTGTTCCACCTTAATGGTTTTCAGAAGGTATTTTTAGATCACTACAAGGCAAAAAGACAAATGGGTTCTTAGAAAACTGCACAAGGAAAATTATATCTACCAAATCCTTATAAAGTCATAATAAAGTGTATTGCATTTATTTCCAGCGAGAGTGTTGAAAGTAACTGGACTTACTTTGGCAACCAGCAAGAAACACCTCCACTCCAATTTCTCCGTAGTCTCTCCGAATCTGAAACACACAAAAAAGCACAGAGAGAGGGACAAACTGTGAATGATCTCATTATTCTCATGATTCGAGTCATAGAAATCATGACCTGAGAGCTAAATTATAACAAAAGGGACAGAGGGATTGATTTTTTTAAAACTAGTTTGCAGTTGTCTTCAGTTTTTTTAAGCATTTGAAAAAGATGTTACATTTCGCTCTTTTTGTATATATGCATGTAAATGTGACTGATCTGTCCTTACACTTCGTAGTGTCTTGACCCCCACGGTGTCCAGGAAGTTGACAGGGCCAAGGTCGAGAACAATGGCTCTTGGGAGTGAGGGGTCCCGCTCAGCATCTACTTCAATGACAGACACATGGTTCTGCTCCTCCATGTTTGGCTCCCTGTTCTGGGTAGATATTAATCAAAGTGACATTTAAGATGACCACAATCGAAGCTATAGGGTCTGGAATGCTGAAACAGTTATTTGTGGAAGAAAGCTCTTGCATTCGAATGTGAAATAAAGTCCTCTAAATTTGTCATCTCTTAGTTTGTCCTTACCACGTCTACCCCATTCTTCTTGAGCTCTTTTTTGACTCTCTTGGCTTCTTTTTTCTCGTGTCTCTGCTTTTTGGCTTCCAGTTTTTTCTTTGCTGACAGGAGCTTTGTAATGTCAAAGCCAGACTACAAAACAAAACAAAGAACAGTCAGATCAGTTACTTAATACCACTGCTAGTTACCCTGTCTGTTAAAAAAAACTAAAACCTTTTGTTAAGCTGTAAACTTAAAGTGTTTGGTTGGTGTTTTAATAACGGGAAACTAACCTTTCCCCAGAAAAGACAGGACTAGGAGAACATGATACACAAAAATCTTTTACTTCATGTGACTTTGGAATCATCCAATCATTCGTCTCCAGTTATTGGAGACGGGGTACACCCTAGAAAGTGAGTCAGCGTGTCACAGGGCTAACACAAGAAGAGACAAATTACCATTCACCTTTAGGTGTTGCATTATGTTGGGTGCTTAAACTTTTGTGCAGGGATGATTCTCAGCCAGTTTGGCCAGTTCAGTCAGTCCAGTTTCTGTTTAGCACCAACATAATATAACCACAACAAACAACCAAGCAGCAGAGGTGTGGTAGACAGCAGCTTGAATGAATGGAGTCACTGTTACAATACAATGACTGATTATTAGAAATGGTGATGGATTTCTTTCTTTTACTTGACTTACTTGCTGTAACTCAAGTTCTTTGACTAAAAGAAATCCATTACCATTACTTGCAGAAACCTTTTTACATAGAGAAACCTTTTGAATACAAGCACGCTCATCCACACAGGTGTGCACACAGGTGTTCACTGTTCATACACACAAACAACACCTTTCTTGGCTGCTACCACAAAGCACATTGTGCGCCGTCGGTCCTGCGTGCTGCACAACTACTTTCAATATTTAGTATTTACTGTTATTTACGCTAGATTAATGCGATGGTGTTGTGTTTA